GAGCTTGTCGAACGGTTTTCGGTTCAGGTATCTTACTGTCGTTGCGCTGTACTGCTACTGCAAATCCCAGTATTTGCAATCCTGTTTCTGTAAAACGCGGACGTTCTTCGTTTGCACCTGCGAAATTTTCTTCTGGTCCTTCTTCCCCCCCAATTTCGTCAGGTGTAACACGAACTGCTTCGTCGGAGACGACGGGCATCGGCTGCTGTTGGCGATCGCGTTCGTAACTAAGATGGACGTCGCAAACATCAGCCGGGTCAGCGTCGGCAAGAGGAATGAACTCAGGTATGCCAGTCGAGGTTACAGGTTCGGGAATGTCGGTTGCAGCAGCTTCGGAAGCTTCAGAAACATCCTCATCTGTACATCAGCTTCTGCTTCGTCAGTGGCGAACGCACGCGAGCCTTCGAACAGCCTGGAGGGGTTGGCGGCTGCTGCCTGGTGGGCACGAAAAACGGGCAAAGTGAGTCTTTCATAGAAAAGACAATCACGTGATGGAACGATTTGGTTGGAGCGGAGATCCAAAATCTTCCACGCGTGATACTGTTTTTCGATGCCAAGATGTACCCCCCATTTTGCTCGTTCAGAAAATTTGCCGAGAGCTGCAGTTGGAGGACGAAACTGTACAACACACCCAAAAACTCGTAAAAGTTTTGTACTCCCAACTGTACGTGTCCACTGCAGGTGCGGAGAAGAGAACTCGGGCAGAGATGTGGAAGAAAGAAGATTGTGCAACAGCACGGCGTGGTCCATCGCATACGGCCAAAAATGCGGTGGAAGGGCTGCCTGCGTCAGCAGAGCACGCATCTTCTCCTGCAGAGTTCTGTTCATCCTTTCTGCTACCCCCATCTGTTGATGTGCATGTGGCAGCGACTGCTTCCGTTTGATGCCGAGTGTCTGCAGATATTCTGTGAAGGTATTGCTGGTGTACTCCCCTGCACCATCGCTTTGAAATTCTTGCAGTTTTACTCCTGATTCTCGTTCAGCGACAGCGAGCCACGCGACGAAGACGGAGTGAGCGAGATGGCGCGCAGGTAAGTTGGCTGTCCAGACATAGCGTGTAGGCGCTTCGATGAAAGTGATGACATACTTCTCGTCTTTAGGTCCTGCTTCAGACAAATTAAGTATGTCACTGTAGACTTTCTGCATCAGTTGATAACGAGTTGAGCCAGGAAAGTGACTTGGAAAAGGATCATGCGTAAGATTGGCAACCGGACAGGTGGTGCAAACCGTCGGACGAGATTGCGGCTTCATCTCCGTTCCATCAGGTAAAAGTAAACTGTTTTTATCAAGAACTGCTGCTCGAATTGAATGATTTAAAATCCCTTGAGATGGATGCCCTAACCGCTGATGCCATATATCTTCTGTGGTTTTGTGTCCTGATGATCGCAGGTAAAAATCGGAGTTAGTATAAAACGAAGAAAGTAGAAAAGGAGAAAGGACTGGTGACTTGTCAGAGGCTCCTTCGATAAAACGGGTAAGAGGTAAAGTAACAGGCGTCGATGTGGTTAAAGGTGAAATTGCAACTGCTAATGCTGCTTCTGTTGATGTCGTGGCAGGTGTTTCGGCGGCAGCTACTGTTGAACTCAGCTGCTCAGCTACGGCTTCTTGTTCTGCTTCTTGAACGACGTCAGGTTCATCGGCTGCAAGACCGCTTATCTCTCCCCAAAGTGGTGCTGGAGTTCCTTGGAAGGCTGCACGTGTATTATAAAAGGTTCGCCAAGCGGTGGCGCTTTCATCAGCTGTATTAAACTCCCAGGTATCCAAGGCGGTAAGTACGGCTGCTGCAGTTCGGGAAGCTGTTGGGACAGTTGTTGCTCGAAAATCAATGTCCACGTGTTGATAATTGTTCTTCAGGGTGATCCCAGGGACCAAGTGCAAGTACGCGTTCAGAGTCGCCAGAAGTTCCCTGTGCTGCAAACTGAAGGACCGACACGCCATGTTGAGTGGCGGCACGACCAAGGTAGGTATTAGTTGTACTGTGCCAGAGCTCCTGATCCATCGTGTCGCAATTTCCTTGGGTACGGATTTTGTGTGCCAAAAGTTGAGCTGTGGAAAGAAGGTTGAAACCAAGGCCGGCGACGATAAGAACATTCGTAACATGAAGTGAGTATCCCGTGTCGATAGATTCGAGCATGACACTGCCAACTGATCGTGCCTTTATCGTTTGTCCGTTTGCGACTGTGACAGGTATCGGACGACGAAGAGGACGCTGATTCGTGATGAAACTTGTTTCGGCATAACACATATGCCATCCGCAGCAGCTCTCGAGATACCAGGTATTTGATCCTGAAATTATGCGAGCAAGGTTAGCTTAAACTTGAGGTAAAGGAATGCCTTCAGCACTTGTTGTTTCTTCAAGGCGGGTTTCGAAATCTGTGTCTGAAACATCAACCGTTGTAACACATCCAAAAACGCCTTTCCCTGATGTGGCAGATGCGAAGACCGGCGGGCGCTGTTGTGAAGTTGATAAACTCGGCGACGACTTCGGCATCTGCTGCTGCTGAGGAGTTAACTGCTGTTGTGGCGGTTGTGTCTTTGGTAACTGCTGCGATCGGTGATACGGCTGCGAAGTGTTGCGACGGGTTTGATGACGGCTGCGACAATTCTGGTAAGTATGGCCTGGTTTCTTACAGTAATGGCAGAACGGATATTTTGGCGGATGTCGATGTTGTGTTTCAGGATTGGAGTAAAAACTTAAATGAACCCCCCTTTTCTGGTTGCGTTGTGACTGCAGGTCAAGATCTTGCTGCTCTGCTTGAAGATAAGAAGAAATTTCAGCTTCGGAGAGGTTCGAATTCATGCGCAGGAAGGCACGCGTCTGACGCCATTCGGGTCCAAGACCAGCCAGAAGGACCGTGAGATACATCTCACGAGGGAAGTATCCTCCGCTCTTTTCAAGTTGATCGCGTAGTGTACGGACGCGATTGACGTAGTCCATGACGTTTTCGTTTGTCATCATCTGCACACTTGTCAGCTGCGAAAGAATTTTACTCACTGTTATCGTATCTTTTGCCATGTATACCCCTTTCAGATGATTCCATGCAGTTTCGGCTGGTGTGAAACTTGAGTGAAAAGATCGAACGCCAAGCTGCTCCTTTGGTGACAAGTTCCATACAAGAACTGTGTACGCCCCGAGAGAGGCGTGCAAGAAACTCTGCTGCTCCAGTTGTGTTCCCACGACAGGATACGTAAACTCGCCAGTGAAGAACGGCCATAATCCAGCGGACTGCGCCAGAAGCTCGAACTCGAAGCTCCAGGAGTAGAAGTCAACACCATTGAAAGGTACGGTTGTCTTGATCTGAGTATTGTTAAGTAAATTTGGAGGTTGAAAAACGATGCCTGGCTGTTGCTGTTGTTGCTGTTGTTGCTGTTGTTGTTGCTGTTGCTGTTGCTGTTGCTGTTGCGGTACTTGCTGTGGTTGCTGATACTGCTGTTGCTGTACTTGCTGTGGTTGCTGAGCAGGAGAACGACCGAAGATATAAAAAGGATGCTGAAATTGCTGCGACTGCGGCTGCTGTACGAAAGGTGAGAAAGCGAACGAACCAGTACTTGGAGCTGTAGCTCCACGCATGTAGCTTGAGCCGTCAAGGCTCATCCCACTAAACGCAGACGAAATCGACTATGTTGAAACTGGCGGCTGGACTGACGCTTGTTGCTGTGCTGTTGTCTGTGATTGCTGCTGTTGTGTTGCAGGTGCAGTCGATGGAGCACCTGGAGTATTCACAGAAGGCGGATTCTGCATACCGATATTAGCGTAGGCTGGTGGAAAATGCCCAGAGGCTGAGAGACCAGCGGTGGTAGTGGAGGAATGTGCTCCAGTAGTCCCAGTAACTGATCTAGCAGATGGTGCTGGTGTTGGACCAGTCATAGTTGACGGTAGTCTTAATTCCAGATAGCTCTGATACCATGAAATAAATCGACAGGTGTTATAGTAGACTAAGTATAAAACTATAAACACGAACACTTGGCAAATCCTCAAGTGTTGGTCCAGGATCTTTGCTGGAATGGTAGACTAGTAAGACAGCGGAAGTTTTGTAAAATGTAAAGGTCAAGGTTGAATAACCTGAGTACGTGAACTTGTGTAATCAAAGTTAATAATGACAAAGATGTATCAAGGATTTATAGTTCTATGAAAAGTACCTGTTCGCTAATGTACCTGTTCGTCACTATCGCGCTATGCGCCCTAGATGATAATGAAGAGGTGCGACTATTCGCGTGACTGAAACGACTGTCCTATGACGAGCGCTATTTGCTGACGTCATCCTACGGACTTATATTCTACAGTAGGATTCGACACTAACTACACTTCATCGACTTACAGAAATGCTAAGTACTAATTATATCACATCAAGCAGGGTGCGTGGGAGGAATGTCTCTAGCCGTGAGGGAATTTTTCTTTGTGGCAGAATTTTCGGGGTTGCGGGGGGGGGGGTCTCTTTCTTGGTCATCAAGTGGAGCCCCACTTGATTTTCGCACAGGGAATGCGCGAAAAACAGGAATAGCGGAGGGGGGTCCCTCTTGAACCCCCCTGCAGAAATTTTGGCTGCTCTTGAAAAGCCGAGGCCCACGTGGCCAGCGACAACGTCGCAGGGGGGCTGCACGACGCGCCAGGCTGTAGTAGTTTTTCGCCTCGAGCCCACATTGGCTAAAACACTCGCGCAACCAAATTTTGGGGCACTGGGATGCTTCGTTTTTTCGCTAGGTTTCGGGACTTCGTTTTTTCGCACCCACTCAACAATCAAAAGGGACCCCCCTCTGCTATTACCGGTATGCCGTCAGGTTTCAAACAACGTGTTTTCTGTAGTTGACCCTGTTTATTCAGCGCAAATTTTATACAACACCCTGATTGATCAGCGTAAATTTGTTTGCGAGGCCTGAAAAAACAGGGAGCGACGAGGGGGGGACCCTGAGCGATCAGCGTGCCTCAAAACGAATCTGAGGCCCTGATTTGGTCCATTGTATTTCATTCTGCCAACCGAGTCGAAATCAAATTATCATAGCATCAAAATAAACACTCCATAACGTGCTTTAGTTGCTTATCCCATCCCACCAATTATTCAGAAGCATCTCATCACCCATCCCATAAGGCCCATTCCTTAAGCTATTACCGGTAGCTTCTTCTCGACCTGCAACGTGCACAGTTGCTGGCGGTGCCAGCTGCTCCTGTAGACCTTCCTCCATCGTATCAATGTTGCAAATGTGAACCATGTCGGCGGGAGATACACTGGTTGATGCACCTCCAGTGGCCTGCAACATCAAGCCACTTGACAGTGGCTGTACCATAGCCACATTTCTAGTGTGGGTTTCAACATCCTCTTGCTCATGTTGTTGCTGCTGTTGCTGCTTGAACATAAGAGCAGGCATATATGGTCCACTCTTAGTGTTCACAGAGCTTATTGATAAGTTTTGGCAGTTGAATGACTGGTGCCACTGAGGTGGCCCAGCACCACCCGCCTCAGCATTGCCTGTGTAGCCGGTGCGGGGAATCAGGTCTGCAGGCGCTAGCCCATCGTCGTGCACCACCAGAGGTAGGTACCCCATGTTCCCACTACCCTGCGCGCCGGTGCAAGGAGAAGACGCAGGTAAGCCAGTTCTCTTCCGTTCTGAGCCATCACCAGATGACGTGCCCAGCGGCAGCTGCAGGTCCTGGGGAAGGGCCTGTAAAGCTGGGCTGTCTGGTGTGGGGGAAGCATAAGAAGCAGCCAGTGCCATCATGCTACGAGGTGGACTGCCAGCTTCACTGGTAGCTAATGGCATGGCCATGATAGATTGAAATGGCTGCGTAGAGGCAGCTGCAGGCAGGGAGGGTAGCGAAAGGTGCTCAGGCTCTGGCAAGTAGCCTAAAGGTGTTGTGGCTGACAGGGGTGAGGGCAGAGGTGGAGAAGTTAGGTGGATGGTGGGGTGTGCAATGAGTGCCGGGCTGCTGGCTGGCTGTGCTCCTGCTTCTCCCGCTTCCCCAGCTTCACCAAGGGCCATGGGCAGGGCCAGCTGTGCTGGTGCTCCCTCCCACTCTGGTCCCCCGCTCCCCTCCTCTATCTGTGCATTGCTGCCTGTCGGGTAACATCCCCATGCCGTACCCACTTGAGCACCAGCTGATGCCGGGGGGGCGAAAACTCCAGCAGTCCCTGCAGGCCCGGCGCCTTCAGCGTCAGCAGGAGGGGGCGATGGAGCGGGAAACACAGGCGCGGCATGTGTGCTTGGGCTGCTGGTGTGAGGCCAGTAGGGCTCGCAGGCGAGTGCATCGGGTGCGGTGAGGAGCGATGTGAAGGCGTCGAATGAGCCCTCCATGACCATCAGCGGGGTGCCGTGTCGTGACAGCGCTGCCATGCCTGCTGCTGGCTCAGTGGAGTGGTGCGTGGCTGAGAGGAAATCCGCACTCAGCACCGCAACACACCCATCGGGGGGCCTTTTGGCCTGCATGCCATGGCATGTGAGCTCTTTCCTTGCATTGCTAGTTGGGTCAAAGCCTGCCGCAGATAGAGGGCTCGGCAGAGACATGTCAACAGCACACGGTGGCAGCTCAAGGGGCGATAGCGCCACGCCTCTGCGCCTCCCGCCTTCCGCTGTTGGCGTGCCCGTGCTTGCAGTGTTGGTGGCGCCCTGGGTGCCGCTCCGTCCAGTCTCCCGCTCGTGCTTGCCCGCATCATCATCGTTCCATGGCTGCTCCTCCCACTCTGCTCTCCCTGCGCTCGCCTCGCTGAATGCTTGCTGCATTGCCTTGCTGCCCCCGCTGCTATGCATGGGCGATCGCTCGCACTCGCTGGCGGCTTCCGCACCCACGCCCGCCTGCACGCCCATCTCCGCCATGTGGTCCGTGCCGTCGCACTGACCGCCTCGCTGCTCGCTCTGCGCCTGTTCCACGCCCTGACCCCGCACAGCCACTAGACGCGTCAGCAGCAGAATCTGCAGTGGAAGAGAAACGAGGCAATTAGTGGAATATCCGCGAGTAATTCCTTCCAACCGCGTTATGTCGCCTCCACCTTCCTTTCTACCTCACTTCCTTCACTCCCAGACAAACCCAAATTTCGCATACACACTGAGCGTGGGCGTACCTTGGAGTAGAGTCCGGAGTTCTCGGCGAGCAGCTCCTCGTAGTCGCCTTTGAGCAGCTCGTACTCGGAGCGCAGCGACTCGCAGTCGTCCTCCAGCTCGTCGTACGCGCCTTTCAGCGAGTCCAGGTCCGCCTCCTTCTGCCGCGACTTCCACCGCACGCGCCGGTTCTGGAACCACACCGCCACCTGCCGCGGCTGCACGCCCAGCTCCGCCGCGAGCGCGCGCTTGCGGTCGGGCTCCAGCGTGTAGTCCGCCAGGAAGCTCTCCTCCAGGAACTCGATCTGCCACGCCTGAAATCGCGGCCGCTTCAGCTCGCGCTCGCTCGCACCCTCGCGCTCGCTGCGAGTGCCGCCTCTTGCCCCACCGCTGCTGCTCGCCTTTCCGCCGCCGCCGCCGCACGGCAGCTCCCCCTCTCCGCCGTCCTTGCCGGGGCGCGATCCAGACTGCCGCAGCGGAGCGGAGCCCGCCGATCGCGCTACCTTCGCTGCGTCAGCAGCTGCGTCGTGCCCCCCGTCTTGGTTCCTCTTCACCGGTGCCCTCTCCTTCTCTGTCGCACGCCTCACCTTCCCGCCTCGCCTCCTCCCCTTGCCCCGTGCTCTCCCATCAGCACCCGCGGCCGCGCTCTTCTGAGTGGACTGGAAGACCATCGTCTCCGCCGCACCTCCTCCCGTTGCTGCGCCACCCTCTTCCGCCAAATCTGCTGGCTCAGCAGCGGTGGCGGATTGAGAGGCGAAGGCGGGCGTCACGGGGGCAGTGGTGGCGAGGGGCGACGGTGGCACGAGGATGGGCGACGCGACACTGTCGCTGATAGCATCGCGCGCGCAGGGGGCGGAAGGGCGGGTGTCACGAGAAGTGCAAATCTGCGCGGCCCGGAGCGACACGGAGCGGCGAGGAGTGCAGGGGCCCGCGGCGGTGAAGGTAGATGCGCGCTGGCCGGCAGAGGCCGTGCAGAGTGCCGCAGCTTCAGTGGGGGCGGCAGGGCAAGTAGCGCGTGGCAGTGGCGTGTTGGGAGGTGGGTTCACGGCCGTTTGGCACGTCGCAGTGGGATCGGGCTTCAAGTCTCGTGCCATGGTGTTCGGAGCCGCGTGGCCCGCACTGCTCGGCTCAGCTGCCCACGTGGGGTTGCCCCATCGGGCGTCGCCAGCGTCAGTCCATGCAGCGGCTGCGAGATTCGCAGGATTCAAGTGGCTTGTCGGTGCCGCAATTGTCTGTCCACTGCGGTTGCACAGAGAATCGTTCGTGGCATGATGCAGCTCGCACTCTTTGCCGAATCCTGCAGCGGCCACTCCTTGCTGCTGACCTTGGGCTTTCTCGCATGCGAGCGCCCCTTGCTTCCGTTTGCGCCCGCGGGTGTGGCTAACTCGCGGCTGTGCCGTGCCGGGGGTGGGCGGAGTTGGAATAGACTCGGAACTTCTGGGCATCTGAGAAAACGATGCCATACTTGCTCCCTGCACCTCATGTGGCCTCGAAACTTGCTGCATCGCTCTCGCCATCCCACTGCTCATGTCGGTAGAAGTAGCAAATCGCGGGGGAGTACGTGCTTGGGACTGATAGTCGGTCAGAGTTGCTACCTGCGTGTATTAGTCTGTAAGCATTGAATTGGTTTCGCGTATGTATGCGCTACCTCAGCTTGGTGAGGGTCACAGGGAAGTGTTGGGCTTGGTGGAACGCGATCCTTGTGAAATTTGGAGAGAGAACAACGGAGGATGGAAAATGAGGGGGAGACCGAAACGCGCTGGAGCAGGTGAGGGCGGCTAGCAGCCGTAAGTGGCGGGAATCGAATCAATCTTCGACCAGCAAGCCGAGGTGAGTCGCGATCACAGGATTAGCAGCATCCGACCGTTCGTTTGCCTCGGCGAACGTGTTCTTCCGTGTACTCTCGTCCGCGTTCTGCCCTTCGTCAGCGCCTCTTGCGGTCGCAAGCATGTGACTGCCAGAAATTCCCAAAACATGAACGCGATCAACTCAGGTCAGGACGCGTGTTTTCTGGGATGAACGACATTCAACACTTGAACGGCTGGAGAACCACGGTTTACCGTATCTCAACGCTCTGATACCGCCTACACCATCTGCCATCCCTCTGCATTCTTGAACCTGAGGTTCGAAACTCCACCATTCGGCTGAAAGGACCGCGTCCTCAGTTACTGTACAGTTGAGTATTCATACACCAAATGAATACCTCTTACACAAGGAATTACGATTCCTTACTGGGGCTTGCCATAGCGAGTACTGCGAACAGTGCGGGTCCGCAGGCTCGGCCCTGGGTTATCGCGCCAAACCGCCGTCGACCTTTTCGGCCCCAGTCTGACCCCGAGTCGCCCCGAACCCGTTTTGACCCCGTCACCCTCGGACTATCGCAACCTTGACTGGTCCAATCCTCGACATTTCAACCTGGTCAATTCGCACTATATAAGCCCTAGGCCTCATTTCTATCAACTCAGTAGAATTCTGTCATCACGTTCCCTTATAGTATTCTGCGCTATACTCTAAGTTATAATTAATGACAGCTGGTATCAGAGCTACGTTCTTGCCCATTAGGCTTCTGGTAGGGGAGCAGAACCTATCAGGGAAGGGGGCGGAAGGATTCTGATGGCGAGCGGACGTCGCGGAAATTAATTTCGCGGGCGTTGCCGATGCCGTCAGATCCTGTCCGATGGACGGCTGGGATCAGGGTCCCCCTTAGCAGACAAAACCCGTCTGTTTGTCTTATTTTCAGACACGATTTTTTGCTTTGTTCTGATTTTTTGCTTTGTTCTTATTTTTTAGAAACTTCATTGAAGATTCTGAAGGGTTAGAAATTTTATTTTTATATTTCTGATTTTTTAGAACGTGTACTATGGTTCTTCTGACTTTCCAGAGATAGCGAAGCATTCCTTCTGAAAGTGACTCTTTCGGTGGTCCAGCCCCCCCCCCCCCCCCCCCCCCCCCCCCCCCCCCCCGCCCCCTGTAACTTGGAGTTTCCCCAGAAATTTCGTGTAGCCCCAGTCTTGCGCAGATGGCCCACCCATGCATCACGTGATGGCAATGTGCTGGCAGCAATACAGCATCTTCGCTGCCACTGTTGAGTCATATCCTGCCCTCGCGGAGAGGACTCAGCGACAGCAAGATGCAGCTCTCGTTCTCATTGGAGCTCCGTGCACAACAGCTTAAAGCCACGCAACCATCTGCCCACCGCACGGTCCTCACTTGTAGGACCATGCACGGCTGGCTGCCTCCGACATCGGAGGCACATTCCTTGCCGATCCCTTACGAAATGCAGAGGCGGCTCGGGAACAGAAGAATCGGAGCCGATGGTGAGCTCGTCTTCTCCATCCTTCCCTCTCACAGCTCACCATCACCCCCACTGGAGGCCCCACGGCAGTCTGATTTTCCAGTCGCCGTGCTAGCTCTTCGTAGGTTTGTTTCAGCGATCCATATTTCCGCAGTGCATCATGTATCTTGCCATGGATGCAGGCGCAGTTGCGTACCGTGCGGGTACTCATGACGGGGCATACTCAAACGGCCCATATGAAACTAGGCCAGTAACTGGCTTAGATCTTATACGAGGACCGCCGAGTAGAGTAGCCAAAGGACTTCCGCCACTTCTGCCCAGGCGAACGTCCCCGCCTCTGGAAACTGCCCGTCATCTAATAGCGACCCCACAGCTTCAGACACAGCGGCAGCGACTATGACAGCCAAAACGAATGCAGAGCCAACCAGCCGAAGCATCCTCGTCCCAGACCCAGACGCTCTGCTCAAAACCCTTAAGGCACGGGTTGCAGAGAACTGGACTCGCCTTTTCCCCTGGCTTGTCATCGACCAGCGCAAGGATGGGAGGCCATGCATGAAGTGCAGCATTTGCATGGCCCACGCCCCTCCTCACTGGCAGTATGGGAAGTACGGTGAGGGTGGCGTCGACATTCAGAAGCAGACGATGAGGAAACACGCCCAGAGTAAGAAACACGAGCGCGCAGAGGAGGATCAGTTGCAGCTTGAGGCCACGAGGGCGGCACAGAGAAGTATTACTGATTATGAGGAGCCTGAGACTATGACTGCACCCTTGAAGCAGCTTTTTGCCATTGTTTCATGGCTATGCCGTGAGGATGCACCCATTGCACTGTATGTTTCTCTATTGAGCTTGCTATTCCAGCTCAAAACGCCGAACATCCCGAAGAAGGCCGCGGGCACCTACCAGTCAGAGTAAGTTCGTATGGTGTTTCCGTAGTGTCTTGACCACATTCTAACACCATCTTTTGTGTCTTGCAGGTATGGATTTCGGCAACTCACAGAGGCACTGGTCGTCTACCTCCGTGCACGCCAGATGAAGCACATCCTCGCGACGCCATTCGTCGGGATCCAGTTGGATGGGAGCACCGATCGGCGGCACGGGAAGCACATGATAGTCTACTTGACATTCCTCAAGAGCGGCCGCGTCATCACCGAATTCTATGCGCATCTGACCGTCGAGGGGTGTGACGCTGCATCACTTCTCTCAACACTACTGACTCACCTCGAGGCAACCGGACTCGACCTGCAGAGGATCTCCGGCATCTCAACTGACGGGGCTTCGGTGATGACGGGAGCATCACGTGGTCTCGTTGCGCAGCTGCGCGAGCGTGTTCCGCACCTCGTGTCCTGCCATTGCATTGCGCATAGGTGAGCAGTTATTTGCGTGAGCTTGCATGATCCATTTCTTACGAGTAAAACACTAACTGCTGCATCCTTGCTTTGCTGTGCAAAGAAGCGTTGGCAGCCAAGGATGCTGCCAACAGCAACCCTGATTTGGGAGTGGTCGACAAGATGGTGCACTCCCTCGCAGACATTCTAGGGCGCAGCATCGTCGTCCATTTCCGCTTCTTCGAGCTTTAGAACTACATCCACCAGATGCAGCTCGAGATGCAGGGCATCAAGGATATACGCTGGCTTTCCCGTGGTGAGGCAATCCTGAGACTCTGTGATGTGCTCCCTGCGGCTATCTTGCTTCTGCAAGAGTTCGTCACAAAGATGTATGAGGTGGTAACGAGTTTTAATCTCCATTTATTGTTGTCTTTCCTCGTTGACCTTCCAATCCTTCTCAACGCTTTGAATCGCAAGTTCCAGCGCCGCGCGGTAAGCACTCGACCTCGCAAATGTTTATTACTACACTGTGTTGGTCTCTAACTCCCACACCCTGTAACGATTGTCTCAGGTCGATGTCACGAAGGTCGGCACCATCGTTGAGAACACATACAACGTGCTGCGAGTGCGCTACATCGACTACGGGGTGTGCTTCGGCGAGGGGAGCATGAAGCTAATGGGGTTCCTTGACGACCATGGACCTACCAGCAAGCGGATCGTCACGGTGGATGGCTTCGACTCCGAGGGCAACCCTGCAACGCACACCTTCCGCCTTCACGAGAAGCAGCTGAAGGATCAAGTCAGCCTCGGAGATCTCGAGTCCTGCATTGCCCTTGCCTCCCTGTTTGCGCAGGACGTTATCACCAACCTGGAGACCCGCATGGCGAGCCTCAGCACACTCCGCGGTGCCAAGCTCTTCTTCGCCGACGCCTATCCCGACAACTACGCCCGGCTCGATCGTCTCTGCGCCGAGTGGTTCGCATCACTGAAGCAACTCTTCAGTGCTGAGTCGTGTAACATGCCAGGTGAGTCTGTTGGCTACTTTGCACAACTAAATGCATGTGTTATGCACTCTAGGACCGAGTTCAATACTAATGCCTTGTTAATTTTACACGTCTGCATAAACCCTGCCCCAGGCGTCGACTGGGCTACGGCCGAGCGTGAAGTGAAGCTCTTCTCACGCATGATGTTCAGCCACTACAAGGATCACTCGTTTCTCAACTGCCTCAAGCACGTCTGGCGCTCGTCGGACAGGCTAGCTACCTACCCAAACCTAATCAGGATCTGGGTGGTTGTCGCCGTTCTCCCACTCAGCACTGCTGAGTGTGAACGCGGCTTCAGCCGCCAAAATGCTATCAAGTCCTGGCTTCGCGGTAACCTGTGTGATGCACGCCTCTCGGACCTGATGTGCGTGTCCCTTCTGCAGTACGATGTCATTCTGGATGATGTCCTGGAGATGTGGCAGAGGCCGAAGAAGCGGCGCCCGGCGAGAAAAGTCAGCATGCCCCTCCCTTCCCATAAGCGCCGCAAGAAGGTAGCAGCAGCAGCAGCAGCACCGGCAGCAGTGGCGGCGGCGGCAGCAGCAGCAGAAGCAGCAATGGCAGCAGCAGCAAAAGCAGCAGCAGCAGAGCTAGAAGAGGACGCCGAAGAGGCAGTGCCACTTAGGGTCAAGAGGAAAAAGAAGTTGAAGAAGCAGCGTAGGGATGAGCAGCTCCGTGTAGATGTGCGGACTTCGATTGTGGTAGATAGTAGTGACACAGAGTAGATTGCAATGATAAATGGACTGCTGCTGCTCCCTCCTTTCTAGTGCACTAATAGACTTCAAATAAGATTTCGTCTGTTATAACAGAAATTCACATTACATTTTTCTGATCCATCAGACAAAGCTGAAACGGCCATCTGATGATCACACGGGCCCGAAGGGCCCGTCTGATCGTCAGAAACCCCAAAAAGTCTAGGGAGAGCCCTGGCTGGGATTGGCCGCTCCTCCCCTTCCCTGGTCGTAGACGGAATTATTCCCCGTCGAAGAGTGGACGACGTTTTCGCTGAGTTTTTTCGGGTATGTTCGTTAGAGTTTCGTAATTTTCGGGTGTTCGGACAAAATCTTCAGATTGCCTTCTGAAAAAAGCGAAGGCTTCGTCATGAAGAGACAAGTGCACGGGAGTTCTCAGGCGGCCAGGAGTTGGTCGTCAGGAGCGCGCTGGGTGGTGAAAATGGCAAGATGTACGACGATGTACGTCTGACACGCCATGCAGCGGCAGGGTGAACTGTAGCTGTGTCGCGGGTCCCAGCGTTTTCGGCATGCTAGTTGCAAGCGATGGACGGGACTTTGACACTATTTTGGCAATGGGCGGATCCGACAAATTCGGAACGACACGATCGCATGAAATTGTGTGGGTGTGCAGTTGTGTGGGAGCAGCTGAGATTAACGACCTCGGCGCTATACACTACGACGGCCATCTGGAGGTGATGACGCTGTGCTGGAGTGAGTGTACTCAGCGAGGGCGACTTCCCGCGTGGGGAGGCGTTTTTCGTGGACCAGCGATTCATACCCCTACGATCAACGGAAAACGGAGGCCACCACCCCTGGTTGTATATTAAGTGTTTTCCACCGGTCGTCAAATGCGTTAACTGTCAGGAGTTGAAGCAGTGGGAGAAGAATGACGGGAGTACTGGAGCAGATGGGTTAGCAGCGTTCGTGCTGCTGCTCGCTCAGCTACGTTGCCCTAAAATCACCATTCCCACCAGGTAGCAGTGTCGACTTATAAATCGACGGCTTCTGGATGAATAAGGGGGGTGAACCTGCAAACTACACTGTGCTGATGGAGTTTCCCCGAAAATTTAGGAGTTACTGTTGCAGTGGAGCTGAGGGAGTTTACCTGGTGCAGTTTGACGAGGTGTAGTTTGACGAGTTTCCGACGAAAGGCAAGAGCTGTCCAGCTGTCAGTAGGCGAGCTCGTTAAAGCTCCTCTGACTAGAAGCGTGCGCACTCCTACCTCTGCGGGTTCTCCTAGTTAGTTAAGCAGCAGCGAAGCAGTTTTGGGTAACCTGCAGCAGCCGCGAGATGGGTGAACGTCTGCACGGCCAGCTGGACAGGGGTACCAGAGTATTTTAGAGTTGGGTAACAGCAGGGAGGCGATCGGCGGCATATGATGCGCATTGACCCTGATCGACGGCCAAAACATCATGCCGAGGCGGTGGACTCTGGTAAACCCTAAGATAAAGGGTTCAGTTCATGCGTACAGCTGGTGGAGAAACCGTGGGGGCGCTGCTAAAGGACGCCGCGATGCCTGGGCAATTTTTACGGTTAGTTGTGAAGTGGAGTTGCTATATTTGCCAAGTACTACGTGGTTCCGACGTTTTCAGAGGGTTTGTGCAGCAGTTCAAGAGTTTATAGTTGGAGTTGTGCCCGCCATCTTCAGGGGTACGAGCGACATTGACCGACATTTGCGGAGTGTTTTGGTTATATGGAGCAGAGGGGGAGCAGTAGCAGTTTTCGGCTCTTCCCGAAATTTTCGGCGTGTACGGACAAAGAAACTGATGCAGCTGGTGTTATTTGAAATCAGGTTCTGTTCGAGGATATTCATGGGAGTGGTTCGATACAGGTTATAGTTCATTGCCATCGTCGTCAGCCTCTCGCCATCACCCGCTACCACCTCCATTCTCAATTCGACCGACAGTGTGAACACGACCCCGCCGCATCATCGCCACCCATCAGGAGCAGTATCGGATTTACAGGACATTTAGCAGCAGTACTTTGGAGCTGTGTTGGGGCTAGCTCACAAGCTGTGTTGAAAAAAAAAAAAAAAAAAAAAAAAAAAAAAAAAAAAGGAGTTCGTGTGGGAGTCTTCTGAAGCAGTCGTTGCGGAATTTCATGACCATTGGAGCGGTTTACCCTGCGGCGACATTACACGTTTGGAGCATTTTTGGGAACTATAGCAATTGGAGTTTTGCAGCGCCATCCTGGAAGCGGAGTTATGGGAGTTTCAGCGGCAGTGTGGGAAGACGAAGACGAAGATGATGCGAGCGAAGCGAGGGTGTCGGCGACACCTGAAGCAGTTTAAGAAGTCCACAGCAAGCCGCGGGGCGGCCATTAAAATCAAGCCTTCGATGCCCCCACCGTTCAACCAGCCCGACAGGACAACTACAGTGAGCGGGTGGCTGTTCGCCATGGAAATCTTCTTCACGGCAGCAAGTATTAATGACAATGCATCATGTGTCAACTTGGCTGTGTCGCTGCTGAGGGGGCCGGCACTCGACTGGTGGTGCATGCATCCAGACGAGGGAGGAGCCCTGGCAGGGAATCAACGAGCGGTAGATGGGGAACATGGTTCATCAACGGCTCAAGCAGAACCGATCTTTGGGTCGGCCACAATCCGCACGTGGAAAGCATGGGGCGAAGCATTGAAGAGCCGATTCGAGCACATATCCATGCGCGAAAATGCTCGCACAACGCTTGGGATGTGGAGACAGTTGGGTTCTGTCCAAGAATACACGACTTCATTCTTGGTGCTATGTGATCAATCGGAGGACTTAGCGAAGACGAGAAGATTGATCGCTACGTGGGTGGTCTCAAGCCAGAGATTCAGCAAGAGATCGTCCTACGAGTCCTGACAACATTCAACGAAATTGTCTGAATCACGGATGCACTGGACGCAAGGCGTGGACTCGCGAGGGCGGGTTTCCGGGAGGGAAATCGCGTTCGAGGCCAGCCCCAACACACATCATTCAACGGAGTGGACGTGTTTGCAGCCTGGGTATTTTCTGGATGCTGCTTCCACTGCACCCTGCCGGGCCACATGGTGAGGGACTGCCCGCAGCTGAAGAAGAACTTAGCAAACAACGAGAGGCAGTCGGAAATGGAGACCGTCAGTAGCAGATGGGCCGCGTATTGACTTGACTGCGTCGCCCAAAAGCCAACACCCCCACCAGGTTATAGTGCCAATTTGGGCTATCGACCATTCTTGGCTGAATAAGGGGGGTGAACCGGTTGATCGCCCTGTGCTGGTCGAAGGTTGGCGACACCCGCATAAAAATATTTGTTGATGATGGGGCAAGCCACAGATTGATGGATATGACAAAGCGAAGAAACTCTGATTGCTGTTGGAATGCTGCATGCCCGAAATCGATACGAGGTTGGTTGACGGCACCCCACTGGCGATTCGGGAGCGCATGCCTCACGTGCGAGTCACCTGTGGCGAAAAATTCAGTTTCACGACGAAGATGGTGGCTAGAACTTTGGACGGAAGCGACATGCTACTGGGACGCGATTGGTTGTACGAATACAACCCAGGCATCGACTGGCGGACGGGCGATTGTCGCATAAAGTGGAGTGGCGAGTGGCGACGGCTACCCAAGTGGAGCAGTCAAGACTCGACAACCTCGACGGTCAGCACAGTGACTATAAAGCCCGCGATGATTCGAGGAGCGCAACTGTATGCCGTCCGATGGATCGCATCAATGGCTATCGACACGCCAAACGACATCGACAAACACTGCGCAGCGGTACCGAATGATTTGGCAACAGTGGTTCGGAAGCAGGCTGGCATTTTTCCTGACGACCTACCGGTGGGCTTGCTACCTCAGCGGCTGCATGACCACAAAATCGAGCTCGAATCCGGCGCGCATTCTGCTGTTCTGACCCAATGGCAGCTGACTCAGCCTGAGTTAGATGAACTTCGACGCCAGCTGGACTACTTGCTCGAGAAAGGTTTCGTCCGCCCCAGCACATCACCATTTGCAGCTCCGACCCTGTTCACCCCGAAGAAAGATGGCGGTCTACATAGTATGTGTATCGACTACCGCTCCTTGAATCGGATTACCATCAAGTCTCGCTACCCCATTCTACGTGCAGACGACCTCATCGACCAACTTCGTGGGGCCAGATTTTTCTCGAAGATTGACCTGCGAGGCGGTTACCACCAATTTCGCGGGCACGAACCTGACTGCTACAAGACGGCGTTTCGAACCCGGTATGGGAGTTACGAGTACACGGTCATACCATTTGGCTTAACAAACGCGCCTTCACCATTCCACTAGACCATGAACGAAATTTTTTCGGCCAGTGCTGGATAAATGCGTCATCATGTACCTCGTCGATATCCTCGTCTACAGCACAACCTGGGAGCAGCATTTGAATGATTTGGAAGCAATTTTCTCTCTCCTGCAGCAGAACCGACTCATCACTAAGGGCTCTAAGTGCGAGTTCTTAAGACATGAATTGGAGTTCTTGGGTCACGTGATTTCCATCGACGGTGTTAAAATCGACCCCAAGAAAATCGCGACAATCTTGGACTGGAAGCTGCCAGCTAATTCATGCGAACTTCAAAGTTTTCCGGGGTTTGTTGATTACGTCTGCTGTTTCATTCCGAACATGGCGGGGTTAAATTTCCCTCTCACGGATCTCCTGAAGAAGGGCAAGTTTTTTGAGTGGGGGGGAGAGCAGTAGGCTGCGTTTGAAAAACTCAAAAATTTCCTGACTACACCACCCGTTCTTCGGATTGCACATCCTCACCGTCCATTCGAGCTTATCACCGACGCTAGCGATCTGGCCGTTGGCGCTGTCCTGTTACAAGACTTTGGTGAAGGCCTACAACCGATCGCTACGAGTCACGAAAACTGAACCCGACCAAGCAAAATTATCCTGTCCACGATAAGGAGTTACTCGCCATCGTTCACGCTTTCAAATTCTGGCCCTGCTACCTAACGGGTGCTGACGTAACAGTCGGAACAGACCTCAAGTTGTTACAGTTCATCCGCACCCAACTGACACTGAATCCTTGACAGATTCGCTGGCTCGACTACCTCGAGTCCCCAATTTCCACTACAGAGTCACCTACAAACGAGGGGTCAGCAACATCGCCAACGCACTGACCCGCCCCTCGGTCCACACAGCTGCAGTCCTAATTACCCAAGCTAGTCCAATGCTAACTGGCCTATTCACCCACGGATACAATACCGACCCATTCTTCACCACTAGAAGTCATCCCTAACTGACGGTCAAGCAAGGGGCTTATCATCTAAAATCCGATACCAATCGGATTTGGGTTCGGGGATTACTGATCCAGGAGGCACATGACTCGAATTTCTCGGGTCACTATGGCATAGACAAAACCGTACTGAGCCGTAACTATTACAGGCCCGACCTACCGACAGACATGCAGCAGTACGTCACATCCTGCACCACGTGTCAACGCATCAAGTCTTCCCAACTTTGACCCGCTGGATTGCTGAAGCTGCTTGAGCCACCCAGCCGACCCTGGCAACAAGTGACGATGGACTTCATCACTGGCCTGCCAGCGGGTTCAAGCGATAACGACGCGATCCTCGTCGTCGTTGACCGGTTGACCAAAATGGCCCATTTCGCCGCCTCCAAGATGACAATTACTGCCAAGAAGACAGCGAAATTGTTCCTCACGAACATCGTGTGGCTACACGGCATCCCATCAGCAATCATCAACGATCGTGACCCACGGTTCATGTCCAACTTCTGGACAAAAACCTGGCAGCAGTACGGCACACGTCTGCACCTGTCTACGGCGTACCACCCATAATCGGACGGTCAGACTGAGCGCACCAACCAGATGATGGAGCAGCTGATTCGCACGACATGCACACACCCGGCCCAATGGGAAGACACCCTTCCCTTGATCGAGTTTGCATACAACAATGCCCCATCGGCCACGACTACTCAGTCCCCGTTCTTCCTTAATTACGGGATACAGTAGATCCGACAACCCCTCTATCACCACCGATCGAAAATCCGGCACCAATGTCTCAGCAATTCGTCGAAAATCTCCGACAATCTCAGCAAAAAGCCACCAATGCAATCCAAAAGGCCAACCAAAGGGCTAAGCAGCAGGCTGACTGACGACGCCGAGACTTAACACTTGTCCCTGTGCAATTGGTCCTGCTCGACACCAGGAATTTGGGAATCCCCCTCCCAAATAAATTAGGACAGAGATTTTGCGGCCCCTTTCGCATCATCCGCATGGTGACACCAATCACCGCCCGTCTGCAACTGCCAACCGACTGGCGAATTCATGATTCGTTTCACGTCAGTCTCCTGCGACCATTCGTCCCGAGTACAACCAATCTCGACCGTCAACATATTAATCCTATGGTCAACCCAGTACCCGAGCCAACGACAATGCCGTCCAATATCCTCGCTCATTGTATACGATGACATCAAGACACAGCAGTCGTCGATTTCCTTGTATGCTGGGCCGATCGCAAAAGTGATGACGATCTGTGGGTTCCCGCAACCACGCTCGGTGAAAACAGAGTTGTCCGGGACTATTTACACCGACCACGTGTCCCGAATGTGGGTAGTCTCATCCGAGAAGGGGGGGTGGTGTAAGGAAATTCCCGTACGCCCTCGATTCTCTGAAGTCCAGTCTTGGCCAAGTTTTTCGGTCCCGAACCACTTCGCGAACCCAAACCTAGACGCGCGGCGCTTCCGTAGCTTTCACCAACTGGACCGCCCCAGCTTGTTCGCGTGGTTCTCGGCTAGCTCTGGTCGTGCCTATAAATGCCTAGGCCCTCATTTGTATCGACACTCTTGAATCACGACTCCTTTATTACACTACATGTTAGTACTCCAAATAATTCATAACATCGTAAGCCAACGGGAACATTCTAACACCTGATCTAGGAGTATCTGTACTACGAATCCCCATTCTCCCTTGCCCCCGCAATTTCTTTCCCCCTTGCCCCCCTCTCTCCCCCCCTCCCCCCCCAATTTCTGAATGTTTACAAATGCGTTCCCCCAAATATGTCCCCGTTTCGCCCCTTGTAGCGCTGTCGCCCTGCAGTTCCCCCCTGCAATTTCGACTTGGTGCCATAGTTCCGTTTCCCCCCTCGCTAAGCACTTTCCTATCGCCTCACCCCCCCACCCCCACCCCCCCCCCCCCCCCCCTCCGAATTTCGCCCCCGCCCCTCTCACTTTCGAAAGTTTACAGCTCTCACCCTCCGATTGCATCCCCAATTGCATCCGCCCCTTCGTTTTCCCGCATCTGCTGTTCCAATTTTGCTTCCCCGATTTTGACAAAATGACAATTGTCATCACTCTCACTGCCCAATCAGCATTTTTCCAACCTAACTCACACTGTAGCAGTCAACACATTTCGGGGAATGTGTACCATGGCTTTAACTGTATATGCAAGTAACCGTAAATAATAAGGATAATATTAATCAAAGATGTATGGGTATTTAATACAATTTATTGTCCTAAATGTACATATTCAATCGTATCTGTTCGTATCGTAACTATTCACCTTACTAATCATGTGATGCCCTTTCAGGTGAATCGCAAAAACGTACCATATCATCTTGGGTGGTGCTGGCTGTGCATGACTCTACATGCAAACTTATTTGTCACGTGTTGGCTCGTTGTACAGTTGATGTCATTATGTAGCATCCTTCATTATGGCACGCGCATATGACTACTATATTAAACTACTTCGGGAATGCTCCACTTCTTTGAGCATCATTCAAACACCCCCCTTCTTCCACCCTCCCCGCTCTTGGGGATTACCCATGATCTGGATTCTGTGGAGCCCGGTAGACTTAGTGGCCCTTGTACTGGTAAACAATGATAACAATAGCATATCTATATAGCAAGATAAATGCTTATCCTGAAGTAACATATTTAAGAAACCTCTTCGTATTATCGAGAGACCCTATGGGGTAGCCCTTGAGATCCTCGGGGAAGTCCAACAAACCTCTCTGCCTGAGGGGATTGTGGGCGCACTGACCCACTACTTAACATGCACTTTTAGCTCAGTGGTTAGTGATTGAGTTCTCACATGGTATCAGGGCCGAGTGACTCGAGTTCAACTCCCAATGCCAGCACTACAGAGGCGCTCATTATTAGAATGAGAATGAATGACTAGAATGATGCAAACAGGTTGGCTTTGTCTAAGGGGTTGTACCCTCTAAGAGTACGCACCTATCTGGCCTATAAGACATATACAAAACATGTTTGACACACCCCCTAGGCTAGATGAGGGACATTGCCTCGCAAGAGAGACACAACTCAGGGTGGCACTACTAGTCCAACCTCTGAGGCAGGGGTCCAAAGACCAGTCAGAATGAATACAAACTAAACAAGAGCAATCCAGGGCGATACTACTAGTCGAGCCACTGGGACAAGGGCCACAAGGCCAATCAAGTTAATATAAAAGTAGTACACAATCAAGGTCCTAGCAAGTGAGAAGCTACAGGAACTAGACCAAGCTGTACACAGTGCCGACCTGAGTGTCTCAGCGTCGTCTGCCCAAGAAGCGTCTGTGTTCCCTGTAAGGACCACTGGCCTGTGTCCTCCTAGCGCTAGCCCCATGCCCGATGTACTTGCTAGATAACGCAAAAACCTCTTAGCGGCCGACTAGTGTTGCGGTCAGTGTCTGCGTCTGGTAAAAAAGGGAGCCAAGATGCTGAGAGGGTATGCGAGGTCTGGATGAGTGCAAGTCATTAGGTACATGAGGCAACCCACCAGCTCTGCGTAAGGACCACTAGGCTCTACAAACTCCTTAGGGACTGGAGCCGAGAGCGTGTGGTCTACTGATAGAGGTGTGGGCTGTGCAAAGGAGAATTGAAGGCCGAACCTCTGAAGGACCTGAGACTGTGTGAGAGTGATGGTGCACGCAGTTCTGTCCTTGGAGATTTGCAGGCCAAGGTAACGGCGCAGCTCTCCTAGGTGTGTCTCCTCAGCAGCTCTGATTTCACGGAAGCCAATGCGTCTCTGTCTGCTGTAGCAAAAACCAGGTTGTCTACGTAGACAAGGATGTAGAACGAGGTCTGGCCAGCACGAACAAAGAGCCAAGGGTCTGCAGTCGACAAGAAGGACTGCAGGTCTGCTAACGCAGCACGCAGCTTGTCGTGCCACTGCCGCAGGCCATAAACCGGGCGCCAGAGGAACACTGGGTCCCCGGGGCAAAGGTGCCGGTGAAGCCTGGCGGGCGACGCAGGTAGACCAGCTTGTGCAGACTGCCTTGAGGAAACGTTGTCAAGATTCAAGAGAGTGCAGCTCGTCGTCACGCAGTGCTGCTACGTGTAGCAGCGCCAG